TGTGCATTGGGGGATCTCCTTCAATATTTAGATATAGCAATAGAATAAGCAAGGTTTCCACAAATTTTAACAATTCTGGGACCTCTCTCACTGCTGGTATGCCTTGGAATCTCAGATTCTATGACACTGACGTGATTTGGTTTTCCAATGTTTCCATTCAACTTCCTATATATTATATATAAATCCTATTTTCAATTGAGATTTGGGGCTTGGAAGTGTTCCCTTTCAATATATTAAAATAGTCTTTACCTCCTCTAGCCCTGTAATTCAGGGCTTTGTTCCAAAACCTTTCCCATCCAGGTTTTGTATGCAAGAGGTAAAGGCTTCAATCTTCCTTCTCAGGGATATCAGAGGTCTGCAAAGCATGAAGTCTTGCTAATATTTATTTAAATAACCTCACACATTAGTTTGTCCTGCTCCAGGACAGGTATCAAGTTACACATCACTTACATAAATGGCACCAACAGCTCACTTGACAAATTATGTGTATGTTTTAGACTTAAGCATTTTCAAAACATCCTCCAAACAGTTTCTATTTCAGTGTGGCAAAATCTGTGTTTGTTCCAGTTCAGCGGTTGATTTAACTGCAATAAAACTGTTGTAACTGGAAAGGCTGATGGAGCAGTCTGAATACAAGTCATTCAGTAACTAATGATTAATTATTTGCTAACAAATTCACAAATAGCTAACTAATGATAATTAATCCTTGAATTATCAGAGTGAAGTTCTCTTCTACATTTCAGAGTGGTAGCCGTGTTCGTCTGTATCAGCAAAAAGAACAAGGAGTATGTGTGGCACTTTAGAGGCTAACAAATTTATTTGGGCATAAGCTTTCATGGGCTAAAACCCACTTCATAGGATGCATGCAGTGGAAAATACAGTAGGAAGACACACACACACACACACCCAACATGAAAAAATGGGTGTTGCCATACCAACTCTAACGAGACTAATCAATTAAGGTGGGCGATTATCAGCAGGAGGAAAAAAAACTTTTGTAATGATAATCAGGATGGCCCATTTCCAACAGTGACATGAAGGTGTGAGTAACAGTAGGGGGAAAATTAGCATGGGAAAATAGTTACTATTTTGTGTAATGACCCATCCACTCCTAGTCTTTATTCAAGCCTAATTTAATGGTGTCCAGTTTGCAGAATTGGAATTAATTTGCAGTTTCTCGTTGAAGTCTGTTTTTAAAGATTTTTGTTGGAGAATTGTGACTTTTAGGTCTGTAATTGAGTGACCAGGAAGGCTGAAGTGTTCTCCGACTGGTTTTTGAATGTTATAATTCTTGATGTCTGATTTGTGTCCATTTATTCTTTTGCGGAGAAACTGTCTGGTTTGGCCAATGTATATGGCAGACTGGCATTGTTGGCATATATCACATTGGTAGATGTGCAGGTGAACGAGCCTCTGATGGTGTGGCTGATGTGATTAGATCCTAGGATGGTGCATTTGCTCCAATCCCTCAGACAGAGGCAAACACCTACAAGATCTCTATCAAGCTTTCTTAAAACTACATTACCCGTGTGCTGAAATGAAGAAACAGATTGACAGAGCCAGAAGAATACCCAGAAGTCACCTCCTCCAGGACAGGCCCAACCAAGAAAGTAACAGAACGCCACTAGCTGTCACCTTCAGCCCCCAACTAAAACCTCTCCAGCGCATCATCAAGGATCTACAACCTATCCTAAAGGACAATCCCTTACTCTGACAGGTCTTGGGAGACAGGCCAGTCCTGACTGACAGACAGGCCCCCAACCCAAAGCAAATACTCACCAGCAAACATACACCACACAACAAAAACACTAATCCAGGAACCTATCCCTGCAACAAAGCCTGTTGCCAACTCTGTCCACATATCTATTCAAGGGACACCATCATAGGACCTAATCACATCTAGGCTACCACGCTGAAACCTGTCGATTTGACTAGGCCCTCCAAGATGTACTAACTATCTTGTGGTCAAGTATCAGGGGGTAGCCGTGTTAGTCTGTGTGACGAACTGGGCCTGTTCTTACTGTGGTGTGTGAATGCTGACAGGGGAGTGTGGCTGGATAGTCTGCATTGGGGGATGGGAGTCTGAGTCTGCCCGAGGGCGAATACCTGGGCGTGTAGCATGGGAGCCCAGGAAGGGGTTGGAGGCCAGGTGACTCCTTGGCCTGGGAAACTGAACAAAGGCTGTGGGAGGGGTCGCTGAAGGCAGAGTGCTGGAAGCGAGCTGGAGAGATGGCA